ATACGATGACCTGACAGCTGCTCTGGGCACCGAATTCCAGTGTGAGACCTTTGATGACATGATATCAAAGGCAAAAGAGCTCATACAAGGTAACCGGCGCGCAGCCAACGAGGCCTGCTAACAGCCCGGTTACGTGGAGAAAGGCAAAGGTCAACGGACACCGCAAGTAGCAGCAGTCCAACAAGGACCAAGTGAGGATCACGTAGCCACATCTACATTAAGTGACGGAGATGTGGCAGCAGCGATACCACCGCAACGCTGAAGACCCCGAGGGGGAAAAGGAAAGGCGAAACCAGCGTCGGCGGATGGAGCACAACAGACACCATGGACAAAGTTCGACATGACTGAAGACATGTTCAAGTTGCGACAGGAATGGGGATGTTGTTTGTGGTGCAACAACACCAAACACATCACCAGCGCATGCCTGGACAAGGACAAGGAAAATGTCAAGCGTCCAAGCTCGAAAAACTGAGCACCGTGGGAAGTGCAGCGACATCACTTCCCAATCCGCCGAAGTCGGCTGCCTTGCTAGCAGTCTCTCTCACATTCGGGGATGACGTGGTAGTCGCAAGTTCTCGTATTGATTTCGAGAACTATAACGCTGTCGAGCTGGTCCCACCGTTGAACCAGTCTCTCCATGTGCAAGATTCATGTGCATGCACGGTAGTTCCGCCGTCGGGCAACGAACCGGTTGCTTCGCCAGCCCTTTCGGAGGATTCGTCAACTTGGACGAGTCTTGATGAACTCGCCCCATTGACGGTTGAGGACTTTCAATGGTTGCCTCTTCCCTTCACCGGTTCTTTGCCAAGACCGCATTGCAATGCCTTAATGGCACATTTGCGCGAGTACTTGCACGCTGCAGTACCACCTCCGTCGACGGACGGCAGACTAGCCGTTGTTGACCTTCGTAATAACCTTGCGAAGATCGACCGCGAATACGCAACGCAACCGTACGTCAACATCGGCGCGCCGCTCCTCTACATCCGCATTCAAATCGAAAAGGGGACCTGCAGTGCCTTGATCGATTGTGGAGCAACTGCCAACTACATCAGCCAAAACTTCACGGCACGCGCCGGGCTTGGCCCTCGCGTTCAAAAGAAAAGTCAGCCTACGCACGTCACGTTGACCAATGGTCACACGCAAAAGTCAATTGACCGATGCGTGGACTCGGTGCCCGTGTACTTTGCCCCGCTAGCATGTGAGGCCGTGTCTTTCGACATATTGGACACCAAGTTCGATATGATCCTAGGCATGTCGTGGCTGCAAAGCGAAGACCATCCGGTGAACTTCTATCGACGCACCGTTCACGTTCGTGAACGGCGTGGCGAACTAATCCCGTGTACGGTGTCACTTCCTCATCCTTCAATTGGTTGTCACATGGTATACGTGACGAGCATTCACCAATGCATCCGGCGAAACGACATCGAGAAGATCGACATATGTTTTCTTCACGCCCTCCCACCCGGTGATCAGCCCAAGACGGATACGTCGGACCCACGCATCATTGAGCTATTGGACAGCTATGAGGATGTCTTCCACGCTCCCGCCGGAGTAGTACCGGATCGGCCTATACGCCACGAGATCACTCTCGAGGACGGCGCCGTACCTCGTCGACGGCTACTTGCTTCTACATACAAGAGGCAAAGACTTCTTGTGTTCCCCAAAACCACATCTTGCGCAGCAAGTGCAGCGACATGACCCTCGTCGACGGCTACTTGCTTCTGCATACAAGAGGCAAGGATTTGTTGTGTGTTCCCCAAAACCGCATCTTGCGGACTCGCCTCCTTGGCGAATACCACGATACGCGGCTGGCGGAACACCTCGGCGTCGCACGCACACTAGCACGACTCCGCCAGCGTTTTCACTGGCGGGACATCAACGACGTCAACCGGTACATTCAATAATGAGCAATTTACCACCGGAACAAAGGGCGCCATCAGCTCCCGTACGACGAACTGAAACCATTGCCGATTCCTAGGGAACCGGGTCTCTCCATTGCCATGGATGTGACCGGTCCTTTCCCTCATGATCGCCTTGGCCATGATGGTATTCTCACGGTCGTTGACCGTTTCAGCAAGTACGCTCGATTTCTGCCACGCAAGTATCATGCTACGGCTCCCGGGCTTGCACAACTTTTGCATACTGGCTGGTTTTGCAGCCACGGCATTCCCGAAGACATCGTCAGTGATTGCAACACTTGTTTCATGTCAGCCTTTGGACGACACTCATGGTGGAATCCGGCACCAGCATGAAACCGAGTTCCGCACGGCATCCTCAAATGGATGGGCAAACGGAATGTGCGCACCAGACTGCACAAATGATGCTCCGCACACTCATCCACCCAGATCAGAAGGACTGGGTTGACCGCCTTCCCGACATCAAATTCGCCTACAACACTTCGGTGCACCCGACGATTGGCGTGACTCCATTCGAGTTGCATCACAATGGACGGAAATGACATATCTTCACAAACATTCTGCTTCCATGGGCTGCCAATATCGACGCCGTTTGCTCCCCCGCTTCTACACGGAAGTATAGAAAACTGCTGGCCAAAGCCCGTGCAAACATGCAAAAGGCTCAAGTCCGTATGCAGCAGCAAGCGAGAACCGGTGTCGCATCCCATGTCCAATCCGCGCTGGCGACCTGGTTTGGGTCACCTCCGAGGAATTCGCACTCGAGCAGCACTTCTCGCGCAAGCTTCTCCCTAAGTGGTTTGGACCATGGAAGGTCACTTCAGTCGCTGGCGACGACCCTGCAGGTCCATCTTTCATCATGGAGATTGCCCCGCATTTGATGGTCCACCCGATATTTCACACTTCAAAGCTGGCAGTCTACACTCCAGCCTCCGCAGCGGACTTCCCGGGCAGACAGTCACAGGACCCTCCTTCAACGGATGGCCATCAGGAGGTCGACTGCATTCTCACTCATCGCAAGCACGACAACAAGCCAATGTAGAACAAAGGTACATTCAAGCAATGCGATCCCGACGACACACGCTGGATTTCGCAAGCTGACGTGTAGGCGACAGCAGCCCTCATCTTCACGTATTGAACTTGCTAAAGGAGCTGCCCAACCTGCCCACACCCTACGGACATCGGACATACAGCTTCGCCCTCGCAGTTAGCTCGGTCTTAAAGGGGGGGAGTGTGTGGCATTCTGGGCCACACAGGCCCCAGTTAGGGCCCAGTTCCAAGTAGGCAGGGTAGGCCTAAGGGGACGACGGTTCAGATGAGGCCCAGGTAGGCTAGGGGTACGCCAGTTCAGGCAGGCCAGGAAGAGAGGCCCAGGCAGCGCAGTTTCAAAGGCTGCCGAGTTTTGGCGCCAAGACCAGTTTCAAAACTGGACCATTGATTCAGATCAATGGATTCAGATCAATGGTCCAGGCCGGTAGGTACCAGCAGGTAGGAGGCCGGCCCAGCACTACAAAAGGCTGGGTACCAGCCTCAGTAAAGAGGTTAGAAGTTAGTGAGGTTGGAGTTATTCAGCCTCAGTAGAGAGGTTAGAAGTTAGTGAGGTTGGAGTTATTCTTCAGGATTTGCGCAGCCTTGCAGCGTTAGTGGGATTAGCGCAACGCAGCAGCGTTAGCTCGAGCAGCGAGGAGAAGACGAGCGCAGCAGCAAGAAGGAACAGCGCAGCAGCCCTGCCGCACCATAGCTACCCGATCAGGTACCGCCGTACAGGGGAGGAAGGCTTTGCCTTCTCTGCCTCTGTTCCTCCGCCCCCCAGCTCTCTCTCTCTCTCTCTCTCTCTCTCTCTCTCTCTCTCTCTCCCCTCCTACTCTTCTAAGTCTAAATCTACTCCTGGGTTCCCTACAGGGCTACTATGAGTATGATGGATGGTTACAAATTCTGATGACATTTGAGACAGCAACATTGGGACTACAGGTTGAGGACTATGGGTGGGATCTGATTTCATCTCCCTTCTGGAGATGTACTTGACATTATGAGATCGATATCTGAGACATTGTGAGACAATTGTATTTGCGACATTTCGAATTTTCGCCATTTCTAACATTTCAAGATACTATCTTTGGAAACATTGAGTTGACGTCATCTTCCTTCTCCCTTCGTCTCCTCCCTCCATTCGTCTGTGGATGATCTCAGCCCCTGGTCTTTCGTCTGTCTAAGGCCAGGGCTTTCACACCCCTGATGAATGTTTGTGAGTATTCTACTGCAGTCCGAGTCAGGTCAGGGTCAGTCCAGGTATCTCAAGTCTTCCGCTTGCATTTGTATTAACTCTGTATTATCTCGTCGGTTCTGGAAATCTGCGCCATACTTACGACTGTGTTTCACGAGTATGCAACATACATTGTGCAGTCAGAGGGTGGAAAGGTTCAAAATTGTCACATCGAAAAAAAATAAAAACGTGAAAAAGTCACATCAGGATTGTCTGGCCCTAGTTACCTTAACTACACGTATCTGGACCCAATCATGTCCAGATCAGTTTAAACTCGCCGCCAGTATGCCCAACGTGCACAACGCTTGCAAGCTGATGAAGAGCCTAGGGCCAAGGGACAAAGAGACACAGGGCTTCGCTGCACAACTCTCCAGATGTGCAAAACGAGACTGAATCCATCACCAGAACCTGGACTGATACATTGCCATCTTGTCTTTCGTGCATGTGAAGAGTAGCGCAGCGAGGCCCAATAGTTGCAAGCTGATGAATAGCCAAGGTACAAAGAGGCAATATTTGCAAGGCAATGCAAGCAGATGAAAAGCCAAGGGACAACGAGACAATATGGCTGCAAGCTGGCGAAGAGCCAAGGGAGACAGACAAGATTCACTAAGCAATCGCATGTATATCGCTACATAAAGCGAAATCACAGACCTCCTGACAGAAAACAGTCAGAATTTAGAAACTGCACCCGAAACTTCATCCGAAGCTTCATCCCCCTTGACGACTGACTTTTCCCAAGACTCGCTCAAGCCACAGAAAACTTGTCGATCAACAGAGATAACGCAACCCCAAATCGAGTCAATTATTTCGTTTTCTTTAAACACGCGTTGTAGTCATACTCGACTCTTCAAAAAAAAAAAAACACTACAGCACGAGGGGAGAAACACAAACACTCCAGCTCCACTTGCGTGACCTAACTGACTGCTACCTACCTACATTCAATCCCAAGTCCCCCCTATAAAGCCACTTATCCATTTACTACTCGCCTGCCTGTGAAACTCGTCTGGAAGGGATAAGGAAACTAAAAGTTAAAAAAATCACCTATCGTTCCGCTTCTCAGAAATGGGCTCATTACAAAAATGAAAAAACAAAGGGCTCATCCCCACTGTGCTCTGAACGGAAGGAAAAAGCAAAAAAAAAAAAAAAAAAGGGGATCATCATCGGCATCTCCAAAGACAAAAATCCCTCTGCAATTTAGTACTTGTAATCCTTGACATGAAGACTCTCAGAAGCACCCTCGACAGCAGGGGCGCCACCGTACTTGCCAAGTGTAGCCTCTCCATTGGCCTTGGCACGGACATAGAAAGTCTGTTGAGCGGCGGGCACGTTCTCGACCTTGCCTCTCCATGCCTTGAGGGTACTGGCCTGCAGAGCTCTCCCGTAAGAGAACGACAGAGTCCAGGGCTTCTTGGCATCCAACGCGTTCATGGCATTAAGGTTGAGAGTCGCCTCCTCCTCGCTCTGCCCGCCTGAGAGGAACATGATGCCCGGCACGGCAGCGGGAACGGTCCTCTGAAGCGTTCGGACGGTGTACTTACCGACCACCTCCGGGGCGACCTTCGTGGCATCCGATCCAGGGGTCACCATATTGGGCTTGAGAAGGGTACCCTCGAGGAGCACATGGTGGTCGCTCAGAGATTTGTACACAGCCGCCAGGACCTTCTCAGTGACGGCGGCGCTCCGCTCGATATCATGCGACCCGTCGATCAAGATCTCGGGTTCGACGATGGGCACAAGTCCGTTCTCCTGACAGATGGACGCGTATCTGGCCAAGCCTTCGGCGTTGGACTGGATGGCCAGAGGGGACGGACACCCATCAGCGATCTTCAGCACTGCGCGCCACTTGGCGAATCGAGCACCAGCCTGATAGTACTTAGCACACCTGGCRCCCAGGCCRTCRTGCCCCTGRGTGGTKGTCTCGCCGCAGGTTCCCGCCAGAGCAGCAACGCCAGTGTCCACCTTGATACCCGGGACAACGCCGGCTTCCTTCAGCACGTCGACGAAAGACCTCCCGTCGGAGGCCTTTTGGAACAACGTCTCCTCGAACAAAATCACACCGCTGATGTATTCCATGGCACCGGGGGCGGTGAAAAGCAGCTCCCTCAGAGCCCGCCTGTTAGACTCCACATTCTCCACATTAATACTGGCCAGTCTCTTGCCAATGGTGCCCGTACTCTCATCAGCTGCGAGAATACCTCGCCCAGGTGTTGCGATCTTCTTCGCGGTGGCGATGAGCTCATCTGGCAATATCAGTTACGCCCGCATATCAACAGAACAGGATATATGTGCAATATGGAAAGGTTTGGTCAGTGTTTGGAGACGAAAAAACAAGCGAAAAAAGAAAGACGAGGAAAAACACAAAAAACAAAGACAAGGTGTAACGATCTTTATTCTTTTCCCGATCTTCGTTCTCTTTTTCAAGGAGTAACGATTTGACACAGACATGCATCCACCGAGTAAAAGTAGATAGTCTAAATAAATTAAAAAAAAAACGAACCTCTAATAGTCACGGAGAAATTTCCTTATCCAAGGAACGGAAGAGAAGAAGACAGTGCCTTATCGAATTTGACACAGACATGCATCCACCGAACCACGAAAAAGTATCCTTTTTTTCTTTTCCATTAGAAAGAGCATATCAACGAGCACGAAATGACAAAAGATTTCGCCGAAAAAGTAAAACACACAACCAAAGCAGGAGAAATATTTGGAACGGAAAATAATATTGTGTGGGACGATGAGAGACCATCGAGAGGCAATTGGCCCGACGAGAGACATCAAACATCTAAACAAACAAGGTCTACATCATGGAGAAGCTTTGCTAGCTTGCTCAATCTCTCACATCTCGAACAAAATCAGCAAAAAAAAAACCCAAAAAAACCTGGTCGATAAGCCAAACACAGGCATGAACCACAAACTTCAGAAAAAAAAGAGCAAACGATTGTTCACCTACCTCATTTACCCAAATAGAACGCCCCCCGTCATCGGCAGGCCCGTAGTTGGTGCAACTGTTAGTCTAGATACAGCGATAATGACCGGGCGTTGTATTCGGGTGAAGAAGGTAGCGTCCGATCATACGCCCTCCGGGCGAATTCCTTCGGAAATATCGGCTTTACAAGTATATTTGGTGAGGGGAAATATCGCATTCTTTACACGAATAGAATGCGCCCTCCGTCGTATTTGGTGCAACTTTCAGTCCAGGTACAGCGATAAGGTACCGGTCATTCTAATCGGGTTAAGACGGTAACGTCGAATAATACGCGCTCTGGTCGTATTCCTTAGGCATTGTGGAGCACAGACCTAAAAATTGGAACGCTACAGAGAAGGGCAAATTAGCAAATGCCCCCTGCGGAAGGATGACACGCGTAAATCGAGAAAGTCCAAATTTTGTAAACATAATAAAACAAAGAACGAAACAAAAAAAGAAAACAGAAGAGAAAACCGCCGTCTTAATCGAGAGAAATCGCCAGAGGATCCAAGACGATCCGTTATCACATTATTATTACCCTACAAATCCTCGACTTCAAATTTCCGCAATCACGAAAATTGCCGTACCCAAATAAACAAATTCTCATAGATCTTTAAGTAATGTTGATACAGTGATAGCATCTGTAATTCGATCGATGATCATCTATTTACTTGCGCAACATGAAGTTAAAATCGGATATATCCGCGGTGTAAATAAATAAAAATGCCGTACCCATCGCAGTTAACCCGTCCCCAACTCCGCGAATGGAAATGTGAGACACTAAAACGAGAGGTGAAAAACTGACCGAGGACAACTTGCTCTCGCATGAGTGTCTAGCGCAAAACCCGTTGGGAGAGGGGAAATAGAAAATACAAAACACAGAGGACCAAATTGAAACGTCAACAAAGAAGATCAGTTTTTTGTGCATGTCGAGAGTAGGGAAGCAAGGCCCGAAGACCCCGAAATTTCAGGACTGTATACCCAGAAACAAACGCTTCACAGCGAATCAATCAGATACGACGAAAAACGATGTTGATGCTGTCGCTCAAAAAGGCAGCATCTACTCGTCGCTTGCCCTCTTCACCCGAACTGAACGCTCCCCAGTCATTAAAGCGGTAGCACGGAAAAATTTTGATGATAGATCAATCAATGCCAAAGCGATGTATTGTAATATAAAAGGAAAGCCCATAAACCGGCTAGTTATAGAATGATAAACCGATACAATGATAGATAGATACAGCGACAATGACTTAGGGCATACACTCGGACTTTTTCAACTTCTTTCTGGACGGAAGCTCGATACGGTATCCAGGCCGGGTCGGATACGTGGCCTTATACATCCACAACAGTACTACTGATGTGAGTATTCCCCGAGTATTCTGTTCGGGTGAGCACGGTCGTACACGGAACAAGGACGCCGTCCACGGAGACGAACTTAGACATCGATCTGACATGAGAATCTCTCTCTCTCTCTCTCTCTCTCTCTCTCTCTCTCTCTCTCTCTCTCTCTCTCTCTCTCTCTCTCTCTCTCTCTCTCTCCGATCGTGCATACAAGAATGCAGTGCCCCGGCTTGACAACCAATCCCGAGTGTAAAGGCCATTGCCATCACCGTACGCTTCAACTACCAGCACGGATGTAGATGAGTTGCGATCGACTGCCGGACACCTGGAAATTAGGGCATCGACACATCACTCCCGGAACGTGAAAACGACAAAGCCTACGGCGGGTGTACCTTTCTATGCTTCTATGGAAGACGCATGCTCCATTTCGCACATTCCGGGAGAGGCGTGTCATGCGCCTTGGGAACACCCCTGATCATGCGGGTCAAGGCATACTCACCTTAGGACTTTTTCTACTACGCTCTGGACGAGATTGGGAACAGATTCATTGACATCTGACCGAAATCGTGATCCGGCACATTTAGGGAAGTCCTATGTTGTGAGAATGCCATGACCTAAAAATGACTCAACACTCAATCGATGTGATGACAAACGTAGCTCTTACCTGCATACTTGCCGGCGTACGCCATCGCTGCTTTCGAACCTCCAAAAGATATGGCGGCAACGCTCTCTCCGTCAACTTCCGGCGACGTCGTAGAGGCGCCGAAAACAAATTTGGCCAGGCACGACGCCGACGGCGGAGGACAAAACCGGGAGCTACAGGGTGGAAAACTACGATACGATGTGAATCGCCCCTCTTCCTCTCTCCGTGCTGCAAAAGATCGCAACTTGTACTGCACCTTTGGACCAGGAAGGGACTTTATATAGTACACGCCTAAACCAACCGAGCCGACTGAACCCACCGAGTCGGGCGACGTCTATATGCAAACGACTCCCGTTTTCCGAATGAATTTGAACTTGTTTCTTGCAGTGTACATGCGGAGAAAGTCCCATTGTGAGGGCACACTCACGCTGGGACTTTTTTTGACTCACCTCGGGCCGTGGTTCCGGTCAGATACAGTCGTTGGGAGTCGTTATTGTGGCGAGATACAACTTAGGAAAGAGCTACGTTATGTCAGCGGCGCTGAGCGCGCTCTGAGCAAAGAAGAAAGGCCTCACTGCACTTCTCATGAAACATTATTTTTCACATTATTTTTCATGAGCGCCGCACCGCTGCACTTACTCGTGAACAAATGCCGTCGGCAAACGCGTCGAGTGCTGTCGCATGCAACTCTTGCAAACGTCACGAGTTGTCGTCGCTGCACTACCCTTGCCTTGTCACTCTTGAAAATGCTGCACTACTCTTGCCTTGTCACTCTTGGGGCCTCGCTACATTACTCTCGAAATGTTCCGCTAGAACATGGAAAAATGCACCGCCATGATTTTTGTCTTTTGTGCTTGTCGACAGTAGTGGAGCGAGGCCCTTGAAAACGCTGCACCACTCTTGCCTCGTCACTCTTGAAAACGCTGCACTACTCTAGCCTTGTCACTCTTGAAAATGCTTCACTACTCTTGCCTTGTCACTCTTGAAAATGCTGCACTACTCTTGCCTTGTCACTCTTGAAAACGCTGCACTACTCTTGCCTTGTCACTCTTGAAAACGCGTCTCATGGGGTCTCCCTCCACTACCCTAGAGTCTCGAACATTTTCGAGAGCAAGTCTAGAGCTGTCAGACTCTAGAAAGGACCCAAAAAGAGAACATCTCTCCACTTCCTCTAGAGGGTTGAACTCGAGAAGGCCTCTCAGATGTCAGACCGCTTTTCGAGAGAGCGACAGAGAGAGTGAGGGCCTCACTGCACTACTCATGAAATGTGCTTTTTCATGAGGTGCGCATCGCTGCACTTACTCGTGAATTGGGCCGTTGTGACGAACCGATTTCTGCACCGCGCGATTTTCTGCGCGATAGCAATGAGGGGTCCTAAGCTGGGAAGGATGGGCCAATTACGAGAGATTGGGATGGATGGGAAATTGCATCGGTATCCTCGCTTCTTCGTCTTTTTGCGTCGGTACCTTTCGGATGGCTGGTTCAGGCCCGGGTGGACCCCGGGACGATCGATTGGTTGATTGGCTCTGTGAAAAACGCGCTGTCCTACGCGTGATTAATAAATATTGACGTCGCTTCTTTTTGTTTCGAGCTCGGACTTTTAGGCGCGGACATCACGCGGGAATTTTGCTTCGTTCTTTTTTAAATTTCTTTTTGAATTCTTCTTCTTCAGATCTTGCCGAGCCCTGATGGCTCTCGGAATTTCGAACTTCCTTTTTGCTCTTTGCTTTTCCGCATTAGATACGAATTTAGAAATTTTGCAATTAGGATTTTTTATTGGCCGCATGACGCTTTTTGCTTCCACGCTTCTTCGTGCAGCTGCAACGGAACTCTGATTAGTCGGCGCCTTTAATCATGTGTGTAACTGTAATTTTGGGCGGGCACCATTGTAACTGTATCTTTCTTCTTGTGCTTCGTCTATCCCGACTTCGCTTCTTTTTATGATGTTTAGCCCGCCCGCGGGCTGCATGATCGGATCGATGCGTGGAGAGAGGCAAAGTCCCCCACGCCGCGGCCCGGTCATGCAAAACACAGACGCTCCCTCTCTAATCTTCCTCCTAAGTCCTTGTAATTTCGTGTTCCTCCCGCATGCATGCACGCTATAAATTTCGGTTGTGCGATTAGTTAGCTCTCTTAACCAGCTAAGTGGAAGCTCGGGGTAGCGCGATCAATGAGGGTCGGCTCACGAGCGAAGTAAGAGGTGAGTTGAAGTGGGAGTCGGGCGACCCGACGAGCTGGTGCCAAACGTGCGGGGTTGACGCAGGCCACGACGGACTGTGGGCACGGGCGAACCTGATGGGTGCGGGAGGACTAAGCGGGGTGACGACTTCGTGGGTTGGTGCGCGGCGACGGACTTGTCCGCATCGGAGAAAGATAGAGACGAAGAGCGAGCGGAGGTTGATGGACGCGGATTTGCTGTTTCTTTTGTCTTTTCTCCCTCTCTGATGGTGTATATAAATTTTGATTTCGGATCAGGGCGATTTGCCCGTTTTTGTTTTCGAAATCTGGGCTTGGTTTTCTTTCGCCCACACTCGTCTTTGTGATTTCCATCTCGGATATTGTGTGCATTATGTTAAATGAATGGATGAATGAATGTTATATCTAGTTGCTTGTCCGTATGCATGATCTTTGTCTTTGCTAATCGTTTTGATGAATTCATGAGTAGGGTAGGAATTTTGCGCAGTCATCAATACTGCTTCCGTTCTTGTTTACCCATTGATTGAGCTGTTGCGATTGTTGCATCTCGCTGGCTCAGAAATTACTGTGATTCGATAATCGGATAGCTGTTTTGCCCAGAAACCAGCGAACGCCGCGCAGGGGCGCACGTAGGTGCGATCTGATCTGCGCACGTACACGTGTCCTCGCGCGCCGATTCACAACCCACCACATATAGAAAGGTTAACGAGTGCGGGGAGATTGGCTGATTGGATGTGGTCATTCCACATCATCAACGAAGCAATCATCCCGTGAAAACACGTGTAAGCGCGACTCGAATCGCGCAGCCTACACGTACTCACAGGCGGTGATCGCAATCGACGAAGACACGCCCTTAGGAATTTTGCGGCTCTACGATGACATAATAACGCGCTCCGGGAGCTCAAATTCGTCGTACGACCCAGAGTACTTCACCCCTTGGATTGAGGAGTGCCCCTGACAGAGGTTACCCTGCCTAACCGAGAACCGACTGTGTGCTAGGGAGTTCCTATGTGCCACAACCAGCGATCCATGGTGTTTTGATTTCCCCACTTCAGACCACACCCACTACTTTATCTCCCCTGGTTTTGTCGTTATGTCCACTAACTTCCCTCCCTTCCGTCTTCTTCTTCCGTATCATCAACTCAGGGTCATCCCGTGGAAAGCCATAGTCCCCTACTGGCCCCGCACGCCTTGCGGAAATTGCCAACAATGCGGCAACCAAAGAGCCTCGGGACCGCGAGGGCCCAACCAGAGCGTACGACGACCGGCGCCACGTGGCGACAACCGACGACCTCACTCATCGGGATCACACCCACCCCGAAGGGATTTTTCGATGAGCCGCCGTCCTCAACACAGATGGATCGAACGGCCATAAGTGACCCGCGCATGCCATCTGCCTTATGACCAGAAGAGGTCCGCCCTCTCTGCCAAATTGCACCCGTGCCCCGAAAAACTCTGCCACTGAAGATCTCAGTTCTGACCTGGGACTCCACCCCCACTTTTCCAAAAATCCTTGGCACACCCTTTTTCGCACTTCCAGACCCACACCTCACTTCGATCACGAAGTCGCGCTGGCGTGAGGTTGGGCGTCACACAGTCGGAAAACGCATCAAGAGCTGTCATACGTTACTCTTGCAAACGTCAAGAGTTGTCATCGCTACACTACTCTTGCCTTGTCGCTCATGAAATTACATTTCATGAGCTGTCAGGGCGCCGTCGGACAAAGTCATCTAGAGCACTCTTGCTCACCTGCCTGCAACCTTGGTTTTTGCAAGGGTGGTCGGACGGTTTCTTGGAAGGGCACGGGATTTATAGAGCACGCCTGGATCTGGGCGGAAAAAAAAGGCTGCACTGCACTCTATGGCAACTGCCAGTGTCTCAAGAGTCCTTCATGAGCAGGACTATCTAGAGTAAGTGCAGCCACGACCGAACTGTAGGTCATTTCGAGACTCTGACAACTCATGCCGCACTCTTGATTTTTTTCACAGGTCATGAGTAGTGCAGCGAGGCATTGAGTCTAGAGCAGACTCTAGAAAAGACCAAAAAAGAAAACATAGCTCTTTTTTATTTTTTTTTTAAATAAAAACGCCCTGAGTAGATGCTAGGGTAGCTGATAAGAGAAGACTACCCTAGCATACTCTAAGGGGCTCCATCTATTTGTGGGGAGCAGCACCTGCTGGAAAACGAATCCAGCGTCCCTCACAATTTAAGGAAACATCATAGGAATCACATCGATAACTGTTTTGAGAATGTCAATCTCCTTTGAGGAGCCTGAGTATCCTGAGAGAGCAGACCTTGCTATAGTTGAAGTTGACCTCTTCACCTGAAATGGTGCGCCAGATGTTGTCTTTCCTATCTAGCCTTTCCAACCTTAAACAGAGAGTGTCGGTCTGGTGTGGAAACATCATTCAAGTGAATCCCTTCCATACCAGGATATTGGAACCAGAGCGTTATGGTGTAATGTGAAAAAACACGGGAACTCTTGGGCAGGGCGGAGGGGAATTGAAGGGTCCACCAGGGTCCAGTCATTAAATTTCAACTTGTAAGTCTTGTTGAGGACTTGTTTCTCCACCGTCTCAGCTTCCTCCCATACCACCCTCCCTATTTTTCCCCCTTTCCCCCCCCCCAGCCAGTTGCTGCTGAATTTTTGGAATGTTTGAATAATTTCTGATTTGGATGAGTTGAACTGAATTTTTTCTTTTAGATTCGTCCATTGATCGTGTATGTGGGTTTGAATATATTGTTTTATGTTGTCAGTGAATTCTGAGCCATCTAATCTGTCATCCTCCCATTCATAGGTGTTCCTTCTCTGCCAAATGGCCCATAGAACCGCCCTTCTTCCTATGGTGAAAAAATTTTGAGTGAAGCTATCCTCCGGGTCTGGAGACCAGTGTGCCAGCAGAATTGTTTTCCAACCCCAAGGCCATTTATGTGTAGTTTCTAATTGCTCCCAGGTTCCGTCCCACCAACGCCATAGCCAGATGGAACCAGGGCACTCGCAAACAATGTGCCCGATTGTTTCTGGAATCTTTCTACTTGGGTATGCAGATTTATAGAGTTTGCACCAGGGATTTGCAATACCTCTTTTCTCCAG